TCCCCCCTCCCCCTCTCTCTCTCTCTCCTCCTAGCAGCCGTTGAGTGAGGAGGCTCATGCCTTCTGGCGACAAGCAGCCTATGAGGGCTGTTGACACAGCACACGGGCCAGCCAGATTATTGCCTGCGGGCATGTGCTTCCAATCGACCTTAGCGTGCAGAGCATGCAAGGCGGTTTTTATCTTTTCCTTCTATGCCCCGGGTTGTCCTGTATTCAAGGCTGGCTGTGCTATGATCACTTTAATGCAAGTTATCTCAGAAAATTAAGTTGTGTCTTGTGTTGTTTATTTGCTTTACAACCCAGGGTTTTCATGCATAAAAAACATACCAAAAGACATAAAGGAAATAACTTGTTCCTCTATACAAAAACTGGTATAACTTGTTGATTTGGGTACATTTTGCCAACCTTGGGAAAAAATGTGCCAGAAAGTGTGGCAAGGTGAAACCTTGACAGGAAAAAAGTGTGCAAGAAGTTGAGCAACAAATGCCTTATGTATTTAAGGCTGCAAATATTCAACCCATAGCACTTTGCCTCAGTAACTAAAAGCAGGGTCTACAAGCACACATGCCACGTGTAATTTCCTTGAAATTCTGCATAACTCCAGGTCTACTCTGGCTGCTAAATACTTTAATCTACAAAATGAAGGGCTGTGCCAAAAATTTGAATGTGCAAATATTCCACTGATTATCCAATAATCCAATGTCATTTTCCGACTTTGAAATGGAATATTCAAATCCAAAATTCATGAAAAGGGAAAATTTTCTCTGGTTTTAAACAAGAAAAATCACACTATGAAGGCTTGTTTCAAGCGTTATTGCGTACATTATTCCAACTGATTATGTGCTTTGTTCATCAACAATTTACTGGTCAGTACGACCAAATATTCACATATTCGATCGAACTGAAGGTCAAATATTCGAATAGTGAATTATTTGAATTGACGTAGCCCTAACAAAATGTTGGAAAGATTCGCCTCATAAGTCAAACATTTGCATGAAACACAACGATCATGCCCTATTCTCAGTTCGTTTCTGCTTGACACGAAATGTTACCTGCCAATTTTTATACATGAAATTTCCAGAAAACTTGTCTACCCGTAAAAACGAAAAAAATATTGGAGTCCTTCAGCACATCAAAGCTTCATTGACTAAGCCAAACCAAGCTACCTGCCAGAAAGCATACTGTGGTACAAATGTACGTGAATATCAGATTCAGGTCCTGAATAGCATGTCTGAATATTTCTTTGACATTCTGATTTTTAATGCATCCTACATGTATGCATGAGCAACTCAATGGGCAACAGTGGGGACTGCTCTTCCACAGAGATTGACATCTCAGTAAGGTTTACCTACTGCTTACCACTCGTCATTAGCTCCGGGCCTAATGACTGTGCAATGCCTCTCCATTTGCTGAATTAAATGCAAAGCAGCCACAACAGTGCACACACTGCCCACTCCGCCAGGGATGTTTAGTGCACGCGTCAGTGGACTTGAATGGGGCTGGTCGGCCCTCACTTAATGAGGCGTGAATGTCCTTGGATGAACACAGCAGTTCAGGCATGGAGGATTTTTCCCTCTTTTTCTCTGACCAGCACATTGAGTCATAGTATGCCATGACAATATACAGTACACATTGGCACATCACACTAAACACAAAAATCTGTTACGCCACAATTTGTTTGAAAAAAAAAAAGGAATAGGTTGTTCAAATTACATAGACACTCATCTAATATCCACATCTGGAGAGTTGTTTGACATACATGTACACAGTTTTCCACAGGTCTGGGGCACACCGTTATCGGGCCTGTTGAGACAATAAGATTCTTTCCCCTGGTAGGCTTTCAAACTGAATGCTGGGATTAACCCTCCATGCTAAGATGCATTCTTGACACAGTCATATCAGTCAAAATCAGTCAAATTTCCCATACGTCTGTGTACTCGGGGAATCAATTGGAAGGCATTTTTTACTGTTTTTGACGGTTAAAACAGAAGGAGGGTTAATAAAGGGTGGTCTAACTGTAAAGATACCGTACATGTAATTGTGCGTCGTTCGTGCCAGGGAAATTTGCTTGATAACAAAATGGAGACCCAAATTTTACATAAATGTACAAGTACCATATACTGTTACAATAGTCGAAAGAACAACCTGTTGGATTTAAGTTCTGTACAATGTACATGTACGTGTACTTTTACAAATGCACACCACCTGTTCGTGTAATCAATTGATAAAATTTCATCCACATATGTACATGTAGTTCAACACTGGTGCATGCACCGATACCAATATGTTTGAGTAGGCCTATCTTGTACACTTCCTATATCAGCCTTCATTTAATGGAGACTTTTCAGTGATTACAGTGTAAGGATCAACTGGGCCACTGAAACTGAAATTAAGCACTGGACCCAATGTACACATACATGTACACGTGCATGTAAATGTACACATACATGTACAGGTCTCCATGTGCATGTACATGTGCATACGTACATCTACCAGTACATCTCCTTTAATTAATGTGGAACCTACATACACATGTATATTGTACTTTTACAAATGCACACCACGTGTACACATAATTAATTAATCAAATTTCATCCACATGCACCACTGCTTTGAGTAAGGCCCAACATGTACATTACTTGTACACATGTATGCGGGGCCTTACTCTAAATGTCAAATAAGCAATCTTTGTTCCGATATATAGAAATGCATCCCTCCCCACAGAGGTTCGGTAATATTTTCAAATGCTTCAAAAACTACATACCGGTAGATTGAGATTTATCATTGAGATTTCCTCTTGCTGACCCCACTGGATATTCACTTTAAATTTTCCCTACAATAAAAAATTGTGTGAAAGGCTACATGTACATGTATGTCAAAAGTACATGTACCTAATGAATGAAAATAGTACAAATGTGTATACAGCAATTAAAATGCATTTCTAGCAAATGAAAACCGATTGAACTTACACATGCAAATTGATTCCTTCTTCAAATTCAAAGTACATTTACCGGTTATGTACACGGAGAAATGAAATCCAAAAATACATTTTCCACACCCCTGTACTTCAATAAAGACAATATGCATTGGCTGCCATCCCAGTGCTGTGCTTCAATAATGTAAAATGAAAAGTCAACAGCTCAACTCTCCTGGGATTTTCAATTTCCCATTGCAATTCATCGCACGCTCGTCGCACGCAACAATGAATGTTCATATCCAATCGCAGCTGCTCCCAGGCCGACGGTTCAGGCCATTGTGCACGGTCTCCCTCAGCACAGTCTCCAACATCCCATTGTCATGAAAAAAAGTGCAAAAATCGAGAAACTTCTGTATAGAACATTCAATATTTTACCTTTTCAAATGAAAATTTGTCTTTTTTCCATTTAAGGGCTGGAATGATATTTCTAACAAGGAACAATACTTGTGTATGTATGTGTACATACCCTTTTCTGCTCACTTGTTGAACTCTTTTAGCACTGTTCAGCGACTCTTCTTCTTTTAAAATTTAGTAATTTCCTACTTGTAATGGTGCCAAGACAGTCACAAAAGTCTGAATTCATTGTTACCGGTAGCATATTCTTTACTACAGGCACATACATGTACAATACAAGTAGATGTGCCTTACTGTTCAAATACTCATTTGATCAATTTTTTTTCTTTAGAAATTCAGGATTCTAAGATTACATTCTAATGTAATTTGGAAACAAACCAAAGTAAAGGGTCAACAATCAACAGACTTTTATAATAAAAGTCAAATCATGTGATTTTTACTTGTTCGGGATATAATCCCTGATGAATAGTGCCATGGGTCTTGCAAGCTACTGCAATGCAATGAGACAAAGGTGTACTGCAACACCATGTTCATCTCTTGTGAGCGAGGTTCTGAAACAAATTGGCGGACTCAACATTTCTTGGGGCGTGTGCTCTGTCATTCATCTGGAGACGCGTCAGTCAGAAGATGTTAACAGCCCGAAATGTTCAATCCACCTGTTCTTTCCAGAACCTACATGTACCTCACTCACAAAGGAGATTCATCTGGTAACTACTGCAAAGCTTCATCTCGCTGGGACATCCACCATGCCAACCTCACAATCCTATTCCAATTTAATCAGTAGTTTTGTATCGGGCAGTCGCTCTTCACACATGAAAAACCACAGGCCAATCTAATCCAATTGGTTATGCCCATGCAGTTTTTATCTTCACCTTCAACGCTGGATAGATTACTACAAAATTAATACTATCATAGATTGCTATAAAACTAATATTATCATATACCCTTATCCTGTTTATCTTCCAAATACGAGACAATGTGCAGCTTAGTATTACATACTTTCTTTGTTTAGTGTGTACATGAGCATGTACAGAGTGAATCTGACTATGGATGTAAGCTGTTTTGTATCATTCCATTCATATGCACATTACTGCAATTAAAGCCTCCTTTCCATACAAGCATTTTCTGTCCATTTTTGTGTAAGCTGAATAGTTTAAATGTAATTTCATATGCTGACCTATGTACATGTACGTATACACTTATATGTAAAACAAAAAATGGACTGAAAACACACTTGTGGAAAGATGGCTCAAAACTCTTGAAAAACAAACAAAAAAAATGGGACATACATGTTCCAGGACACTCAGGATTTTCCATGACTGAGTGTACCCTGAAAAGTGAAATATTGACATACATGTATGTACATGTACACTGCTAATTCACAGCAAATACCCACATTTCGACCTTGGCAAATTTCACCGTAAATGCTCTGTGACATCAAATTTGCATTCTTGTTTGTTTTAGAAAGTCACAGGGTGAAACAACAGAGCGAAACCACTACTCAGTGAAGTCAAACAATCCATTTCTTGTCAGTTAATTTACGACATCGCTCTTTTCCCTGCACTGGGGAAAAATCCCTGCACTGGGGAAATATCCAAGAGGAACAAGTCTCAGCAATGAAGGGCTCAAAGTCATGCCCACCAAGAGGACCCTCCCCTGATATACTTACAGGTATGGAGGCACTCGGTGATGGTAGTAGCGTCGATGAGGTAGCCGTTACACAGCTTGCAGCAGATCTGTTCATTGAGATCTACCAGCTTCACCCGCCGGTCCATCTGGAAGGGAAGAACAGAAAGTAGAAGCGCATGATGATACACATCCATGTGCATTTCAAGTTCCACAAGCTCTAAACCCTTTGAAACCCACTGGGCATTCTCTCAACCCGTTGAACCCTTCCCGAATCCTCTAATATCCTCCTCCTCGCAGGAGAACCAACATCAGTGAATTCATTGGGTGGTTAACAGAAAAACTTCCATGCCACAATGTACATGTATGTACATGTATTAAAGGTGTTCCTAGCTCTATGGGTTAACAGTGGCCGATTGAGTCAATTTGACAAGGCCAGATAAGTTCTAAACAACTGAATACACTGGGCCTGGGTTGTAAAAGAAACCTCACTGAGCTTAAAGTGGAGCCACAATGGGCATGTACATGTAGCCTCACAAATTGTTGGTGCAAGAAATAGGGCTGGCTAAATGCGGAGCTGGCTCCGGGAGGTGGAGCTACCGCTATGACAACTTTCAGGGGCAAGTTACATGCAGCTTGCTCTGGAGCTAGCTCTGGACACAGCCCTCCATCTGAATGCTTTATGTACAGAACACTGTGCAAATGAGTCTGGACAAAATTATCTGACAGAACAATATCTAAAATAAAAGGAAAAAACAATCAGTTTTGGGATTCGTGCCACACATTACTGATTACAATATAAACAGTGTACAACATAAACATTGCCCATATACACAATGACATTTATGTACAAGTACATGTACATGTACACCATCAAGATACATGTAACTCACATGATATTCTAAGATTTGACACTCGGTAATCTGATCCTCCCAGGGTCAACACAATGCAATCTTTTAAAAACCCTTGAAAATCTCAGAGTTTCAAATATGTTTCTAAGTTTTGTTTCGCTATCTTACATGTAAGAGGTATTTTGGCACTTTTTTCAATTTTTATGCAAATGCCAATTTCCATATCCGCAAAGCAAAATTATTGTCACCCTCATCGTCAACATTAAATCCCTTCATTTAATGACACCACGATTTGTTCACAAATATCCTTTTCTTTGGGGATTCATTGTTGAGTAATTAAAGTAGAAGTACATGGTGATGAAAGAACAAATACACCTATCTCTTTCCAGGAAATATTTTAAATCAGTAAATTTCGGGTTCCCAATCTGACCAGAAACACATATAAACTGATAAGTATCTTCCTTGAATGGCATCACAGCAACAATGCCTTCAGTTGTCTGGGAAAGCATGAACAACTGTTTTCAACAGACCTTACCCTAAATGATATCAGACCCTTTTCGTTGATGTACATGCACATTGAAGAAGAGTATAACATCGCATAAAAAGGGCATCAAAGAAAACTGGCCCCTTTAAAGAACCACTTTTTGGACAGTTATCAGGAGAGGGTTTGTGCTGCCACACAGAGCTACATACACAGTACACTGTATGTATGCACAGATGAACAAACAGAAAGGAAAGCTACAATTTCCATGTTTCACCCCTCCTTGTGATTCACGGGAAATGACAAGTTAGGGGGAAAATTGAGCAAGGGCAGTACCTGCAGTCTAAGCTGCACACATACAGCAAGCTCAAATACAGTACATGTACATATGTACATGTACATGAAATGATGCATGATGCATAGTGTCCATGTATCGAGTCTTCTGATTTGATGCACTTCATCTTCTTCCGGATTTTCCTCAGGAGGTATTTTCACAACATCCTTATTGATGAGCAAGTTCATTCTTACAAATACTTGATCTACAGCCTACAGGCTCAGCCTTACAGTTACAAGCAATGGTACCATTTAAGCAACTTCAAATTTAGTCTAGAGGTTTACCATGTGACATCCTGAAACCTGGCTCCAAATCAGGCAGAGGATCTTTTTAAGCGGTAAGATCATGGTTAACATGATCATCTTTATTTACCTTTACCTTTCATGTCTGATCACTTCAGTGATTATTTGCTTATTTCTCAGCAAGTTTTGAACATGGTTACTGACACTCTTCCACTTCCACATATGTCTACAAATAAAGGAAATAAGTCTTTACTCCTTTTAACTTTTACACTGGTCATAAGATTCTAGATTAATGGAAAGGGTTATTTGGAACTCATCAGAATTTCGGTTTCTACGCGGTTTGGACATAAAGTGTGTGCATGTATACAAGCCTCCGTAAGGTACATGTAGATTAATCTTGGGTGATCTGCTAGCTCTTTCAAAGGAGACCAGAACAAAAGGCGTGCTGTGCAACTTGAGTATGCATGTACAGTGTACATGTACAATGTACCTTCCACATGGGCTCCTTACCATGCCCTCCGGGCAATGAAATTTGCTGATGGGGTTGTGCACTTTTGCACCTTTTTCTCTGAGTCACCCCAATTGCAGAGAAAGGGGCATTTCTCTTTTGCAAGCACTGACTGGAGAACACTTGCATTATACCATCTCCAAACAGTAGTACCATCTCTAAACACTAACATTATTACATACATGTACATGTATGAGGCTTATGAACTGTTTTCATGTATACTTTACATAAAAATGCCATGGGGAAGTACGTGTACTTTGGTGCTTCAGAGATAAAGAAGTCCCCGGTGAATTTTGCTTCAATACTGTGAGCAATGATGGAGGTCTGGACAGGCAGAATCTGCCACTAGCAAAGTTACATGTAAAAGGCTACAGAGTGGGCCCTACGATGGGCCTACATTTATGTCCACTTTTGAGACAAAAAGATAAGTGGTTGGAAATGCCACATGAGATGTGTGACCAGAAATTCATGTGCAGTGTAGCAGCTGCATGTACTGTACTGGGTAAATGTACATGTACTGGGTACATGAACACGTATGCATGCACAAAATGGTGTACACTAGAAACAGTGAGCTAAACATAGTGTACCATTAGCAATATATGTATGATGTACCACACACTAAGGGTACTTATTAATTAAAGCAACTTGATTTCAATTCCTAAGAAAAATACACTGTACCAGTACGTGTGCATGCAAAACCTACATGTACACGTGACATGTTACTCATTTACACAATTTGGTTGGTCTACAGTAGGAGGAACAAACACTACACTCCATGGTTCAGACATTTCAACACATACTCGCTCCAAAAATATCACACTTTATCATTCTCTTTATCCACAGAGCAAGACACTCTCACATGCTTACTACATGTAAGTGCAGGGACAACACGATGCAGAGCCCCGCCCACAGCAATTTATTAAGTGGGGAGCCCTGGGGCAGGCCAGAGGGGCAGGCCAGAGGATCAGGCCTCTCTGCGGGAACATGTATTTGAATGATACCCCCCCCATGAGCAATAAGACCACAAGACACTGTATCAAGGTTCATTTGATATAATCAGAGTTACTGTGCATAAGAACAAGTAGGCACATCTCTGTGATTGAGGGGAAAAAGCAGGTTATTAATGTACTTAAGATTTGCTTCGGGCTTACATGTTCATACATGTACACATTGTAGAGTGTACTTTCCAAGGTACATGTACCAGTATATAGTAAGGCCCAATGCCCAATTTCATGCCTCTGCTTGTCACAGACTTCTATACTCATTCTTTGCTTCAAGACATTTTGCGATATCACTACGGTAACTCTGCAAGTACCTAATCCTAAATTTAAACTGGATGTACATGTACACTAACATTAATCCTAGGACCAAATTGCTTGCTAATCTGTGAAGTAAAGGTAACCATCAGAGTATCACACATCAGAACTTCAAGTTAAAACCCTTCAAAGTTATTTAGCCTCACTACCAGATGAAGCGTCAACCAATTATCGATTATTGGTCATAGTCATGATTATAAAGCACGTACTGGTAGAGCGCAACGTGGTTCTCAGCCACAAGTACACTGTACCGTTGATCTCCATGCCGAGTACATACAACATTGGGCCAGGGGCCAGGCTGTGGCTTGTGTTCGTGATGGTTGGCCTAGTCACCCGCATGCAAGCTGAGTCTCCTACGGCCAGTACGGAAAGCTAAAATTCATGGTTTGTACAAATCCTGGCCTTTTTTTAGCATGTATTATGTGTTAACAGGCAAACTTAAATAGACGGACAAAAGGTGTCCACAAATTTCGACAGAAGTTAAGGGGCTCCCGGCAGTTACGTGTCAAGGGGAGAGGGTATTATCCAGCAAGGCTTTGGCACATTTCTGTTGCTAGCAATTTCCTCATATCTCCGGATTTGTCCCATTTTAAAAGTTAAGCCGAATACATTTTTTTTAAGAGATAGAAAACTTTTCCAGAACACGCAGGCACAGATAGGTAGTTTCTTTAATAAATTAGACTGATGATGCGAGTCAATAACAACAATTAACAATCATAATCTCTTGGGCCTGAATTTGCAAACAAAAAAATCACCTATTTTGAGATTATTGAATATTTTGAAATTGCACATTGTTGGGGATTCATCACCTGATAACCAGACAGAGCTCCAGCATGACCATAAACGTCAATCTCCCAAGCCAATGAATTTTAAGCCCACTGACAAAAACTGTTCGGCGACATGATTTCTTCACTGTTGAAAAACATTGACAAGAATATCAGAAGGCACTTATGATTACAGAGGACTCCAAGCAACTACATAGTACACATGAATTGGAGTTTTCAGCGTTTTGATGTAGGCCTACGCGAGGCTGAAAGTTTTAAAAGAGCATCTCCCCACCCCAAAAACCATATGATTGAATTAGGAGATTTTTTTAAAACTTCAACACAGTCTAGCTATCTGTCCGTAGCTCTAAAATCCAACTCGTCACAGCCAATTACCACTTCAGTCTGCTTATTGTATATTTAGTTTACGAATAAAAAAAAGGAAATGCCAATCAACAGCACAATTTGTGCATTACCGCACGTACGTGCGCCAGTACAGCCTCTGCATACTGTGTTCCTGATCAGTATATGATCACTCTTGCCTGTTCATTACCATCATTATGCCTACAACGGAATCCTCTCTTTTATTCCTCCATTATCAAGATAAGTTACTGTTTCATTTTATAAAAATCAGATCTCTACAATATTGTGTA